GTATAATAGGAGGATGTATATTACATGGAGTAGGATGACAGCTCAAATCTTCTCTACTTTTACAAAGTATAGAAAAATAAAATTCATCATATATAACATGTTTAACAATATAAATTCTGCCTGTGGAATCTAGACATTTATAACCCTTATGATTACAACTATAACCTAGAAATATGCATGGTTTAGACTTGTAATTCATTTTATATTAGTTATAAGGTCTAAGATATGGATAACACTTACATCCAAAACTTCTAAATAGACTACAATATGGTTTTGTATGAAATAGAGTTTCAAATGGATATTTTAGTTTCAAAACAGGTGTAGGAATGCGATTTATAACAAATATAGCACAAGCAAATACATGGCATCAAAAATCAAATGACAAATCATATTCAGCTAACATAGTGAGGCCTGTTTCTGTAATATGGCGATGCTTCCTCTTAGTGGCGTCATTTTGCTCATGCGTATGAGGATAGCTAAATCTATGAATTATGCCATTCTCTTTAAGTATAGAACTGAAGTTTTGGTATTCTTTTGCAATATCTGTTTGAAGAAATTTCAATTTCTGTTGAAATTGTAACTCTACCATCTTCTTAAATTCAAGAAAGGAGGTTAATGCTTGAGATCTATTTTTTAAGAAACAAACCCAAGAGAATTTCAAATATGCATTAAGAAACAAAATGTAATATCTATATCCTTCTTTTGAAGGTAAGGGTGATGGTCCCCAAATATCATAATATAGTAACTGCAAAGGGTTAGTATAAACAATTTTAAAAATAGGAAAAAGAGATTTATGGAATTTTCCTAAACAACAAGAACCACAAACAGAAGCATTATCATTTATTGGTATAGGTATATTACACTGATTTAAGACATACTTAACAATTTTGTTTGCAAAATGGCCTAGCCTAGAGTGCTAAATCCGTAAACTATTATATTTGGTAGAGGAATATAAAGCTGAAATAGGAAAATCACTATTATGATGAACAAGTTGCATATTCTCAAAAGGATAGAGGCCATCTTTAAGCTTCCCTTGCAGCAGAAGCTTCCAAGAGTCCTGAGATTTAACAAAGCAGCCAATGGAATGAAATTCAAAGAAACATGAGTTTTCTTTAGCAAATTGAGTAACACTTAACAGATTTTTAATGATATCAGGTACATGTAACAGTTTATTAAGAGTAAAAGCAATTTTATTGGAAGGATTTCTAAGTTTAGAAGTGTTAGTATTATGAATACTTAGGCAATTACTGTTACCAACTACCACCTTTTCTGATCCTATATAAGGAGTTTTGATCATTAGATTGGATAAATCATTAGTGAAATGATTTGTTGCACCTATATCGGGATACCAGGTGTCACCTAGAGAAGATTAAGTTGCAGAGGCTGCAATCATAGCTTGATTGATAGGTTCTTGCACAGTAGGATCACATGTGTTGTTATGAATGGACTTAGAATTCGGTAAATTTTCATCAAAGTGAAACCAGTAATTATACACAGAGTGCCCCAACTTTCCACACAATTGACATTGAGTTCTTTGTCCACGACCTCCACCAAAGTTATTTTGATTTGAGCAGCTAGATATGTCTCTTCCACGATTTTGACCACGTCCACGTCTGCGATTGGTCACAAGATTGCCTTTCTTATTTTGAGTTTGAGCAATATTTGCTTGAAGAGTGGACAACACACATTGCTTATACCTCTCAAGACGTTCCTCTTGATGCATCAACAGTGCTTCAATCTCAGCAATAGTGTATGCTTCAATTCATGTGATACATGAAGTAATGAATCCACCATAATCTTCACCAAGACCATCAAAAATCGCGTTGATGTGATCTTGAACTGACAATAGTGATCCAATTGCAGCAAGAGTCTCAACAATCTGTTTCACCTGTATAAGACACTCAATGATTGATTCACTTTTCTTAACGCTATGAAGTTGAATTTTTAACTGCTTAACATGCGCTTTCGTCTAAGATGAAAAATACACCTTCAACACATGCCAGATCTGATGCGACCAAACGCATCCAACCATACGGATCTTAAATTGTGAATCTATAGTTTCAAGAAACCAAGATTTTAACAGATTGTCTTGTTGCTCATAATTTTTGAATGCAACATGCACCAAATCATTCAATTTATTATTCGGTGTCAAGAATTTTTTAGGAATCGATTCTCCTTCATTAATGTGTTTTTGCAAACGAAATCCCTTGATCGTCGCTTCTGCATATTGCATCCAGGTGAAAAAATTATCATCTGTTAATTTGGATGAAATCGCATTTGAAAAAGTACGAGGCTATAACGATATTTCTATGGAAGCCATTTAAAAAAAATCTAGAATCATGGCATAACTAATACCATGTAAGGAATTAGTTCTCCTTTTAAGAGAACATGAGAGGAAGAGAAAAAAAAGTTTTTCAGAGATATTATTAAATATTAAAATTAGGATACAAAGAGAAATAGGCTAAGCTATATAAATAAGTAGATAGTCACGTATAACAAACTTTAACAGGGCAAATCAGCTAATTTTTCTAAAAATTATATTAGTCTTATTTTTAACAAAAGACATCACTACCCATATTTTTTTGTTTTTGAAAACCCTTTTATTAAGTAATTTTTAAAAACTATATTTTAGAGCAAAAGAAAAGAATTCTGTTTTAAGAATTGCTTAATAAATTTGTTTCAAAAATATATTTTAAATGAAAATATTTATTATGTATTCTTTCAACTATTTTTTTTTACTAGCCAAAATGTGTCCGATTGAATGGTCTTTATCCTGAGAGCACATTAAACCATATTAGACGTGTTCCCGCTTCCATGTAATCGTATTTATTGAGTGAAACAAATGAATAATGGTATTGAAAGCAAGTGTACACTTGTGCAAGGAAAGGATGAACTGAGCTAATCGATTTGACAGAATGGTACTTAATGCAGTGAACAATGTGCAATAGCGATACAGATTGATTGAACAAAAATGACACAAATCCCTAATCTTTCCCCACCTGTAGTTTGTTGAGAAGGATCCGTGGAGTTGGACCGATTGAACAATGTTTTATAGTGATACAAATTGATAGGACAAAAATGATGCAAATCCCTAATTGTCTGCCCCACCCGAAGTTCGTTGAGAAAAGAGACTAGAACAACTGCCCTGAAATTGCTGGAATGGAGATTCGAACCACAGAGAGAGAGAGAGATACTCTTTTGTTTTCTTACTTTTTCATAATTTTAACATTGCCATTAATGATTTGGGTATTCATGTTTTTCATTCAGAGAACTAGGAAAGAAAAACAACTCAAATTCATGAACACTTGTTGGTGAAATAAAAGTAGACCGAATTCATTAATTTGATAAAATTAATGTGATTGATCTCTGTCTGAAATTGTAAACGAATATATCAAGAAAACAGATGATTAAAATGGCAATCATGAGTATCCCTTGGATGAAAAAGAGTCGAGTCCAGACAGGAAGGGTTAATTAATTTAGTATTAAAGGAGAATAAAGAAAGTATTGAGAAAAAGTTCCATTAATTAAGGATCACATATGGAAGTGGAGTTGATTCATGCTTATCTTTTAAGTGTTGAAGTTAAAAAGATATTTATATTTAATTAGGTTTATGAATGTGATCTATAATATTTAAATAAACAATAAATTATATTTTCTTTTTTTAAGAGATGTTTTAATTACATTTTTTCTCCTCTTATTTTAAAAAATTATTTTCTCCCATAAAAGATTGATATATATTATATTTAAGATTATTTTAACATAAATGAGTATTTTTTTAATCTGATGATTTTCAAATGATCCATAGTTAATTTTGAACATTTATTAAAACTTTATGACTTTCAAAAAATAAAATAAAAAATGTTAGATGAAATTTCAAATTCGTTTATAAAGTTATTTCATCTTTTTTACCTTCTAAGATATTAAAATAAAAAACAAGACATTCGAAATCAGTTGCTCTTGACAGTATAAATTGTAGAAAAAGACAATTTTCTTAAAAAGTACTTTAGTAATGACTGTTCACTGCTGTTAAGCAATTTTTTTTAATATAAAAGATTAGAGTGCAATTTATATTTATTTCTCCAAGAGAGAAGTATATATTTTAAAGTAAGAGGCAAAGAAATTATTTACAACTTATGGTAACTTTTCTACTTAATAACTTATTCTTATAAAATAATTTTTTATTAAATAAACGTTTCTTTTTACTCAAAACAGCTATTATTATTATCGTTGTTGTTGATGTGTGTTTATTATTTTATAATGAAATTAATTTAATGCAAAAATGTGAATTTGTGTATAAAATTATTATAAATTTATCCCAAGACAAATATTAACAAATGTCTTGAAAATACTAGTGAATAATAAGACTCTCATCATTTAGTAATTAAGTTGTAAATAGTAATATTTTAGGATTCCATCCTACACGTTTTTTGCCACTTTGGGAGTTCTGACTTATGCCCTAGCCAAAGCACTGTCTTCTCTGTTTGATTGTTTTCCCCATTTGAGCTTTTGAGCAACTTATCTTATCCCAATTTCATTATTGACAATGGACTTGTGGCGGAAATTCCACAATGAGTAGTGAGTAGATGAGCTCACAGTGATGCGAGTGGAGTGGGGGGTTTCATAGAGAGCCAAAATAGTGTTAATTTTGGGCACATAAAGACGATGGTTGATGTATGGACAACACTAGGAAGAACACTGGACCCCAATCCAAACAAAATGACAATCCCATTGGTGCTCTCTCATTCAGCGCCTACAATCCAAACACACCACCCCAACATGTGAACATTGTCAATATTAACTTACCTCACCTTCACTCAACTATAGAAACAGCAAGAGGGCCAGTTGGTGACAACAATGACAGAACATCCTACCAAGAAACTTTTGTGCCACACGTGAGCCCTGTCAGGTGCATGCACTGTTTCTCAATTGTCACTCATCACTTAACCCATTGTCCTCATTTATTATAATATTCAACATTTCTTTTCTTTTCCTATTTAATTAATAAGGTAAAAGAACACCTACTTTTCTTTTTTAATATAGCTATCCATTGTAGAAGCAATTTTATGTAGACTATAAAACCAAATGGAAAAAGTAATGCACATCAGTTACCCATTAGAGTGGGAGCAACAGGTGGCGTTTCAAACGATACTCGTGATGATTAATTTCCTGTGTTGTTCATTGATAGAGACGGATAGAATGACGGATCCTAATTTCTCTTTGAAATCAATTTCTTTTGGAAGAAGGATACTTCTTTATGCCTCCTACGTTTCTAGAAAATGACATATGGATATAGCTTCAATATGTTACACAGTTTAAGGTAGCTTGTTTTTGTTTTCTTCTATGGTTGTGTCCCCGTGTTTCTGGAAAAGAATTGGAAAATGTTGGAATTCTTAAAAGGATTTATACATTTCAAGGTGGCTTATAACTGTTTTGGGAAATTTGACATGATCCTACTCCAAACCTTTGTTTATATACTTCGGGACAACATCTTTTCTTCAAATCTCAAATCCTCAGTACCCTAAAGCGGCCATGCATTTCCAATAGCCCTTGAATTCGAAATGATTTGGAATATGTTTTGTGCTATGATTTAAATTTTGGTTCATGTTTGCGGCTTTTATAAAAACTAAACCAATGATTAGACTAATTAAATACTCAAGCATTGAATTAAATAGTTTTTAAATTAAAATATAATCAGTTTATAATTGAATCAGTTTATCTTAATTCTTAAAACATTGATTTTGTTCCATTTTAACTTGATTGAGTGAAGTTTTTTTGGTCTGAATTGAGTGAAGAATTAAAATTCGACAAGCAATTTAAGTAGCTCTAACAGGCCATCATTTGTACCCTTGCCAGCCCAACAAAAAGGGAGCACCAATAAAAAGGCTGTTTGGGGGCCAAAGTCCAAAGCCACAATAGACATAACCCGCGATTTTCTTACAAAAAAATAAACGACTCGCGATTTCCTTTAATTAATGTGGGGTTTTAAATTATCACATAAAGAAGGAGATTTGAGAATGATCATAAGCTAACTCTAGTTCAATTGGTTTTAGGTCAATTGCATGAAAAAGAAGTGCTACTTGATCAAATTTTGATTTGGGTATGAACCAACAAAATGTATTAAATTATCTAGCTATGTGCAAATGCAAATATATCAATAAAAGTGAAATTTGTTGCAGAGAATCTTTTATTTACCTCTCTGTCCGAGTCACATCGAACACTAAACCCAAGCAATTATCAAAGTCTGAATTGACGGTCCACCAAAAATTAACCCAGCCCAGACTCCCTGAAGATAAATATTCACATAATCAATTAAATCTTTACCAAGTTGATAAATTTATGTATGTGTTTATATATAAAATGAAAATATTAAAAAAATTTAAATAAATAATTATTCCTTCCCATTTTATTATTGTATTTTACCATAAAAATATATTTTAGAGTCGATTTAATAATGTCCATATTTTTTTATTGTATCTTTATTTGAAAAATTTAACTTTGTTTTATACTATCCTCTGAACAATTATATGTTGAGTTTAAGACTTAATTTACGTTAAATTTTTAAAAGGAACAAATTTTAAATATATTTAATAAATTATCAACAAATTATCATTGACGAGTTATATGGCTTCATAAATTTATTTATTACATTAACAAACAGTTGCTACCTCAGTTTAATATTTAACAACTGTAAAAAATTTACTTTTTTCTTAATAACTTGGTACACGTTTTGTATTAATTTCTATAAATAATAAATATTGATAATTTTATAAAAATTAAATTATTAAGAGTAAAATATACTTTCTTCTCCCTATTAACATACAAAAAGTACACTATATTTTCTTTCATTATAAAATATAATATTTTGACTTTACACCATTAAAAATATTTTTTAATTTAATATTCATATACTATATTATTTTAAATTTAATATTTTATTATTATCAATACTCTACTTTTATTTTTGAAGATGTTAAAACCGCAGCTCATCTAAAACTTTTACGTTTTTATCAAGGTTGAGAATTTTTCTTAACTTTGTTTTTGTTAGCTAATAAGACAAATTTAAAAAATTTATAATAATTTAAAATTTATTAAGAAGTTATCTTAATAAAAAAGGTCGAGTTAAATTTTTGTATCAAATAAATATTTAACAGTAATTTAATTAAAAATTTAAAATATATTAAACCATGAGGTATTTTAATTTTTTTAAGAAAGGGAATTTTAGTATCTTAAAATGAAAAAATTTGAGAATAATGTAATTATATATTTTGTAAGGAAGAGATATATAATTTACTACAATATTATTTATCTTCTTAAAATTGAGTTGAAACAAACACTTAATTTACCGTGCTGTGTGTGTTCGTCTTTTGTCTGGTAGCATTGCTTATGTTTAGACAAAAATGTCTTTTTATTCCTGTCAAGTCTTTAGTTTGCTGCCCTGAATAAATCACAATGGCTTTACTGTTTTGATTTTGCAGAGGCACGCAAGAACGAAGACAGAACAAAAATATCGCAAAGACATAAAACCCCAGAATCAAAAGTAGAATCAGTAGCATGGAAAGATAAAACAGTGGAGAAGAAGAGTAGATATTGGAGAAATTATGGGCCACTTGATCAGTCCAAGAAGTTCATGGACTGGGCCTTAATGATTGAATTTAAATAATGCTGAAATACGCTCTCTTCGTAATTATATAGTTTCCACCAATTTAATATGCCAATCCCTTTGGCAATTATGTTACGAAGAAAGCAGCCCTTCAATTCAGATTTCTTATATCTTAAAGAAGCTCTAGTTCAGTTCACGTTTTGGATCTCCCCACTTCGTTAGATGCAATTTTGCTTTCTCAGCCTGCAATTGTTAACCAACAAAACGATCAAATAAGATTAGATTATTCAAATTCATAACCAATAGCACTGGTGAAAAAAATGACATCAATGAAATAACTAGCTATAGTTACCTCTCTGTCCCAGTCACACCGAATTGTAATCAAGCCCAATATTAATGTTTGAGTCGCTGTCCCACCGAAAATCATCCCCGCCCAGATTCCCTTTGTTCAATTTCATTAACAGTTAGTGTGGGAAATGAGAATCATATCTTAATGCATTTGAATTTCACATCCTAAACAAATAATTGCACAGATTTTTAGAAACGAGACCAAAAAAGGGAAAGAAAACGTACCATAAGTCCTTGATTGAAGACCCAGCCCATCGCAAATCCAAGAGGCACCCCAATAATATAGTAGCAACCCAAATTTATGTATGCAACATATGATTGCCACCCCGATCCTACAGCCACCCCTGTTCAAATTATCCAAATGTTAATAGGTACATACCATATATTTGAGTATATATTTTCTGTTAGTTTAATTTTGATGTACAGTCAGTATAATAAATTTGAATTACTCTGTGGATCAACTAGTACAGTGTGGATATAATTTTTATATTGACTATTATAGATAATGACTCTTCTTAATATAATAATTCATATATAATATACCTCCATTTCAAATCAAATATTTGAAAAATAAAATTAGGTGAAGGGTAACGTGATACCTGAGAGAACTGGCTGAACACTGTTGAGCAGAATTGTGAAGGCTAATAGAAGAGAAAGATTGTTTACTTCGTCAAGGACGGCTTTGCTATTAGAGAAAATGTAGCCGAATTTATCGTGCAATATCAAAATCAACATCCAGAAGAAGAGTCCTATTATAACCGATGTCACCACAGATACCGTAGTAGCAAACTTGGCTCCTTTTCCGTTCCCAGCTCCAAGCTCGTTTGCAACCCTCACTCTGCACATTCCATGGTAGCCAGCATTGTTAGTATTTGTTTTTTGAGTTCTTATAACATAATAAATTAAAATATGGTTTTTAAGTTATGGAACAATGGCATCCCTAGCCCCAATCCGTTTAGCTCCTCTAACATCAAGGGGACGCATAATAACTGGTAATTAAAAAAAAATTAGTTAAATAACATATCCATAATTTCAACTATTAATTTTTGAATTACCCATTATAATTTAGACTTTATCATAATAAATTAATTTTCTTTCACTTTAGAGAAGCATGTTGAAAACAAGCAGATGATCAGCATCTTAAGAGTCAGTTATTCATTTCTCAATAAATTGTTTATAGGAGAATCCTTTTATGAACATTTAATTAAGCCGCACGATGGCCTTTTTATTCTTTCAAGTTGAGCCTACGTTAACTGTCTCCACTCAATATTGCTTTAGTGAACTAATGAACGCGAATTAAATTGCTAATAGCAGTGTGAAAGCAAGGGCGTTGCTAACAAATAGGACACATTGCTGACCAAACAATTGTCCATAGTGTTTCCATTGGAAATTTTAAAATCATGGGACACACGTATGTAACTGCAGCCACCGGATTGTCACAGCCTCCGTATGGGGCAATCAAAAATTTGTTTACAGAAGTTGTCCTTGTCAAAAGCCTAGAACTGTGTCAAATATTGATATTAAATGTTCTCAAGAAAAGAAGGAAGAATTAAAAACTATAGAATCCAAATTCGCATGGAATTTATGTCGAATTGCGTATCAAGCTGCAACACTAGCTCTTCACTACCTATCCAGAGATTTCCATATTGATAGATCATCATTCATTCATATGATCCCTCTTTTAAGCTCCACGACAAACAGTAGCTAACCAATTAATGCACAACTTTTGTTTGACTAGTACCAACTCTTATCTATAGATACCACATATATGTTTTTTTCTTAAATATTTATTGATATTGATAATGATTTCTTGGTGAATTGTGAATATGCAAAAAAAGTTATTTCCGTTTGACACTTCATAATGTCCAAAAGTCTCAATCCCCATCTCAATTTAATCATAGATTATATTTTTCTGGTGCGGAGCATGATTGTCGTGTCGTGTCGTGTCGTTCTACCTATGAATTTTGTGCGACCACGCGGTTTAGCTCAGCCTCAGCCATATGTTTAAGAGATTCTACAGTGTTCAAGAACTAACGGCATTCTTCATCTCACCGTCTATTCTTTTTCAATTATATTTGGTAAGATGTTTATATCAGACTAAGAATAAAATTATTCATTATAAGGCATGAAAAATCTTTCTTTCACGAACTTATTTTTAGAGTGAATTACATTATGTTTTTTAAGATGTTGTCATTTAGTTTGATTATCGAGTCACCCATAAATATCTACTCTCATAAATTTTACGCACTAAATATTTGATTTTGAGCACAAACATACGTTAAAATATTTAGTAGTAATACAGTGAAAATACTTCTTATGAATAATCTCCTTTTTCTAAGTTTTTTTAATGTAAATTGGATTTTTTTAAATAATGTTTATAATTTTATAATTGTATGGATGTGTTCATTTATATCATCCCTATCCGTGACGATGAGCCATTTTTATCTGATCTCACCATCACTCGTATAAGACACATGGCCTCCATTCTTGACTCACACGATTACAAGGAAAACGAAAGTCTAAACTGAGTGAACAAAACAAAATAAAAAAGTAAAATTAAGAAAAATAATATAAGTTTAAATTAAGATATGTTACCCAGTTGCAGCAAAGAATGCCAGAGGAATCATCATTTCTAAACCATTTATAGTCATACTGCCAAACAAAAGACAACAAGGGTCACCTCAAAAAAAAATAATAATAAATAAGAGATAGACAATTTGAACTGGAAAGTGAAACTAAAATCTTAAAGAGTGCAATCAGTAAATAGGTGATTACATCCGCACATGAATATGCACCAATATTATCTACTGTAGTCTTCGGAAACGTTAGACCCAACAAAAAAACTTTCATTTTATATTTTGATTTAGCAAAATATTTTAAAGCACCATTCATTACATTCTTAATATCAGTAAAAGAAATGCCATTTTATGATATTTTTAAAATCAAATAGTAAACAAAGGATAATTATTTGTTAATAACTATTTCAAAAAATATAAAGCGGGTGAAGGAAAAAGAACGAAAATAAAACATGTAATTAATTATATAATAAAAAAAGAAAAAAGTGAAAATAAATGTTATTTAGTAAATAAAATATAATTACCATATGGATAAAGCGTCGACGGCAATCTCTGCGTTCTGAAGATTCCCAGTCATTAATATGAGAATTCTGTAATACCAGTTCTCCAAGCTGTAAATGCAAAATCCAGCGAATTGAGACAAAACACAAAAAGCATTCTGACACAAAAAGAGGGAGGGAAACAGAGAGAGTACCAAAGCATGACCCCAGAAGCAGCAGAGAGTTTGACAAACTCCCAAAGCCCAGAAAATGCTTCAACGGAAAAACCAGTCCAAGTGTGAGGACAACCACCCCAAACAGAATAACCAAAAAGGCCCAGAGTCAGAACCCACCAAGAGAAGTTAGTGGTAGCAGCAGTACCGATAACCCCAAACTGAAGCTTAAACACAAACAACCAACTCACAAACACATGCACCAACAGTGCCAGCAGTGACACCCACGCAATAGACAAAGTCTTCAACTGGCTCTGCAAAAACCTATTCAAAGGAAACTGAAACGCAAAAGCAAAGTGAAGCGGTATCAACCACATTGCCACCTCCCCAGATAGCTCTGCCAACTCCTCAGGCTGCCCCAACACCTTCAACACCGGCGTTGCAAATAGATAAATAGGTAAAAGCAAAACACAGCAAATGAAAAGAACGATCCACGAACGCTGCATGTACACACCCAACATGTAGTACTTCTTCGCCCCATATGCTTGCCCACACAGCGTTTCCAAAGCGCTTGCCATGCCCAACTAATTAATCAAGCAAAAAAAATCAATAACATACTAACAAAGTACCCAAAATAATATATTCTATGTGAATAATAATAATATAATAAAAACAATACCAAGAGGCCAAAGTCGAATCCCACGATAACATTATTGGCAATGGAGATGGCAGCGAGTTCGAGATCACCGAGGTGGCCCGCGAAGGCTTGTGTGATGACTAACATGGAATAGGATGCTATACGGCTGAAGATTGCGGGGCCCACAATGTGCCAGAGTTTCTTTGATTCAACCCAAATTTTTCGTGCAATGTCTTCATTCTGTTCTTCTTCATCCGTTAAAGGGTGAGCTTCTAACAATGGAACCTTTACTTCTCCCAACGATGGAGAATCCTTCCCCTTGCTTGGCATCTCTGAGTGCCGCGTACACGCTGCTCTGCGGTTAGTTTCTTTTGGGTTTCGAAACACAAAAGTGAAACGAACAAAAGAAAACGGAAGAGAAGTGATGACGAAGGGTTCGAAAGTAGGAAGCTTTTAAACAGTTGTTTTTTGGTCTTATCTCATTCGTAAGTAAAATTAATGATTACATTCATACACTTGCATTTTTGTTTTTATTGTATTATGTTATTTATCTTTATTTCTGCAACCCAAAAAGTAAAGTATACAAGTAACAAAAATAATTGATGAGATTCTTAGAATGGAGTGTGAAATAAACGAGGGAAGAGAAGGATAAGAAAGAAAAAAAAGGAAAGAAATTGAAGAATGAATATAAGAGAAAGTGTATGTAAAATATATTAATAATTAATAGAGTCAAAGCAATAATATTAAATATGTTTTTTTTTAAATATTAATAATAATATGGTAAGAAACACAAATTTTTATTCTATATTTGATAGATGTAAAAATTAATTAATTAATTTTTTATTTGAATGAGTGAAAAATAAGTAAATTACACATTTTAAAATTATTCATATTTTTTTTAATTTTATTTAATATAACAAAAAAAATTACTCTTAATAATTATTTGAAAATGTTTAATTTAATTGAATGATATTATGAAATGCTTGAAAAACTATTAACATATTGTTCAACATTTTTTTATTATTTTTTTATTTTTAGAATAATATTTCAAAAAAAAATTACAAAAAGTATACTTTAACATTTTGAATAAAGTTGACTTGCACGGCCTGAGCTTTTATAATGAAATTGACTTGCACATCTTCCGCCTTGCATGTCATGAGCTTTATTTAAATAATATAAAGGACTTTTTTTTTTTCTCTCGATATAGACCATCTGTTAAAGGCTTGTTAATAATATTTTAACTCTCTACACAAAAAAAGATGCAACAGTTTAAGAAGCTAGCTTCTATTATTTTAGAGGTTCTTTTTGGCAAACTTTACAAGCATGATTTAGTTAAATAAAATAATTTGTACTTAAATGTTATGTTATCTTTAAAATTTTGGAAGATCAATGACTTCAGACGTTTTTCATTTTTGTTCCAACACGAAAAAAGTCCATTGAAATGGCATTAAAACGGTGAAAAGGGGGGAATTAGAAAAAAAAATGAAATCAAACAAAAGAGAAAATTTTAAAAATGACGTAAGAAAAACAAAATATAAAAATGTTAATAAATATCTTCATTTTAAAAAAAGTTTCTATTAAAAAGTTATTAGTATATCTCTGTCATAATTTTTAAAATATCTTTAACATGAGTTAAAAAAATTAACTTCCACTATTAATTTTTAATTAATACTCTCGAGACCCTAATTAATAAAGCTCATATGATAATATATTTAATTATTGTAATTCAGATTTTTTTTAGAGGATGGATTACTCTTCACTGCAGTCGCCACATTCGTTGTTTTCTTTTTTGACAGCCCCAAGTGAGTTGTTGCTGTTACTCTGTGTCCGGAACATGAGCATGCCTTTTTAATAAATAATAAAAAATGCTAACATTGTAAAATAATTTAAATTTATAAAATAGTTATATTTTATTAAAAATATTATTTATTAGGCCAAAATATAACAATATAATAAATATTTTTAAATAAAATTTACTATTTTTATATATTTAAAACTGGTAGATTTTACAATATTTTGTTGTAAAAATAATTATTATGATTAATTTAAAATTAATAGTATTTAGAAATATATAAAAATTTATAATTTTTAAAATATTAAAGAAATTATAACTACCAATTTTAATAAAATATATGATATTTTAAAAAATTTACGGGTAAGGTTGAGATCATTTTTAAAAGTAACCTTTAAAATTAAATGTTAAGAATATACAAGTCTGGTGAAGGCTGGATAAAAAGGAATCATCTTGGCATTTTGTGTGTCCAACCAATTGCACAGCGTAGAGGGTGTCACTGCTTACGTATCATATTTTTGTGAGCATATTGATGTCGTGAAATAATTATAGGAGTGTCAAATCGTATGTCTTCACGGGCCCCCCTGAGCTCCTTAAAATGACATGTCGGGCTTAATATTTTCTACCTGTCGATATGTTTACTCCACAATATTTTAGTTTGTTCAAATGTGAGTGATTTAAAAAATAAAAATACTTATTATTATTATTATTATTATTATTATTCACCAGTATAAAATGCTCGTGTTAATTTATACATTTTTTACTTTTTAAATTTTTATTATTATTCACTCGTTGATCTATCAATAGATTAGATTAAAAAATTTAAGTCATTTTAAAATAAAAACGAGGCAAGTCAAGGCAGGTTAACACCCTTTCATACTCTTTATACTACTAAGAATTGAGAGACATACAAATATGTTTTTTTAATCTATTTATATTCAATGATTTATTAAATTTTATTTATTTATAAATTTTAAAAATTATCTTCTCGATTTCTGCTAATGATATTTTGATTTAAATTTTGAAAGTTAATATTATTTGAGAGTTTTTTTCAAGTTTCTATTTTGTTTTAAACGCTATCTCCACCACATATTTGATCTCTATCTGCTGATGCTCCGTGTTATGAATATTGCTTTAGCACTCAAGGTAGACTTGTTTATGAAAGAGAATGAAAGTCTCAAATCCCAAAGCAACGTGATTTAGATATATTTGGTGAAGAATTTGAGTTTTTTATTTGGTGAAGATCTTGGGACAAATTTAACCCAAACCAGTACTCTCAGCATTAATTTCAACCTAGATACTTCTAAATACTTTTCAATTAAGAAAAAATAAGTGTTCCGAAGTAAACGAAAAATAGATTTATTAAATATTCATGTTAAACTTGTTATTAATAAATATACATACTTAATGTAATCGGTTCAGCTAGGAGACGCATTAAATGCCCCTTTAAATTCATAGCACGGAGCAACCACTTTTTTGTAATTTTTCTCATCCTAAAACAAGCGTACCTTTTAATTATCTTTTGCACGCAATTTTTTATCCTGAAGGACATCCGAACATAAAAAGATAAAAATCGAAGAATCAGTATGTTTATTTACATTTTTAAGAAGAGAAACAACAAACTCTAAGTCATATATCAAAACATAAAAATAAATAAATTAACAATATGAACAATTATACTTGAATTGAAAAACAAAATAAAAAATTACATTGCGTTAGAGTTAGAGAGAAGAGAGAAGATTACATAATAAATTAATGCTTATATAATTGCTTTTCAATCTTGTTTCTACATGTTCCAAGCTCTAGAGTGAGAAAAAAAGCACTAATGAATTTGGGTTCTGCCTCCAAAGTTCTATTAAAACGATTAAAGGCACATGTTTATAAGTTTCAACATTTTCAACTCGTAGTTACTAGCATTGTATGCGCAGAAACATGAACACCTAATAATAATCATCTTTAAATATTATAGCTACGATCAAGTTGGGCAAAATTCTACTTAGAATTCAGAACTTAGCCTTTCTATTTTTGGACGGTGGAGAAAAAAATAAGAACAAGAAAATTATAATATTTGCTTGAGTTTTAAGTTATAAAGTATGAGAAAAAAAAATGGAAAAAATTCAAAGTCTTCATTTTTAACTTTAAATTTTCCCTTTTCTCTTATTTGTTTTTTTCTAAGTTCAAACGTAGATCATAGCAAGTTTGAGATATGTTGAAAAATTTATGCAATTAATGGTTCCTGAGTTGCAGAAATGCACACGGAAGAGAAACTTGGCAAAGACACAACAAAGTGTAAGAGCATTAATCACATATGAAATTAAATTCCGTAAATTCTTTTTCCATATTTTTCACGTTCAATCAACCATGCAATTAGTAATAAGAATAAGTTGACCCAAAACAAAGCCACCGCGGGTCTACTTGTTTTGAAGCCATGGAGAGTTCCAAATCATTACGCGCATTTGCGTGTGTTTCTCGTTTAAAGTTGTGATCAGGAAAAAGCATTGAGGATGAGTTTGCATTCCAATCATAGTCGTGAAAGTAACCACCATCTAAAGAAGCGAAAGCTTGCATGACAACTATATAATTGCTATTTAAATCGAAAGAAAATGTTCACTACTCAATTAATGCGACGAAATGTCAGGTTGATGGGCAGGTTAGTTAGATTATTGACACCATTAACGTTTCTTGGAGAAAATCGTAGGTATATTGATATTTCTTTGAACTTTCTATAGAACATGAACATGAAGTGGCCCGCGAAGGCTTGAGTGCTGAAAATTGCGGGGCCCGCTATGGACCAGAGTTTCTTTGATTCATACCAAACCGAACGTGCGAGGTCTTCGTTCGGTTCGACCAATGGATCCTTTGTTTCTCATAAAGATGAAGAGGATCATTTAGGATCATTTTTTCCCACTCCTGTCAAAACCATCGTTCTTACTGTCTTCGCATTCGTCCAAATTGTTAAACCTTGCACAAAATTCATCTAGTCCCGTACATCTTAATACGGTGAGGGAATCTATCAGTAGATATTTTTTATATAATATCAAGTCAGAGATTTTCTTTTAATACATAAACACTTTAACTCGATACTTTATTTAAAATATATCAAACTATTTACTATTTAGACTAATTTTTATTTATTAATTAATTTTAAATTATTTATAAATTCATATATTGAATATTTTTTATAAAAACTAAAGTAAACATTAATTAATTTTGTAGAGATAAAATATTTTTAAAAATGTGTTTGAATAAATGTATTTTAAAAATAAAATAACTAAGAGAAAGAAATAAAGAAAAAAAAAGATATAAAAAATAGGCCAATTTATTAAAATATTAAAATTATATCTAATAGTGAAAATTTTATTTTATTAAAAATAATTATAAAAAGATATTTTTATTAAATTAATTATTATTATTAGTATAATTTATTTATTTATTTAAATGAGTACTTTTTAATATATTTTATTTATATTTATTTAAATAATATTTTTTATTAACGTAAAGAAAATAATTCTAAAATTTGTGACTGTTGTTGTGTCTCGACTCTTGCCATTTCTGTGGAAAGTTTTTGATACATAATACAAAACTCTCAACAATTTTTAACCATTCGTAAATTAAGATAAAGATTGATAGAGAGTGAGAGATAAAATAGTCCAGAAACGATTTTAAGAATTGGACACCCAGTATAAAACGTTGTACATACAAATAACAAAACTGTATTTTAATAAATCAAATCTAATTTTGTTAAATAAAATTCAATATATAACTTGACAATAAAAAAAAATAAAATTAAATAAGATATTTGGTTATTTTAAAAATCTAAATTTTTAAATCTAATTTGTTATAGTTATAGATTAGGCTAATAAATCTAGATTTTTTTTCTACCCTAATTTC